TAAAAAAAAAAAAAAAAAAAAAAAAAAACACAATTTGTTGTATATTTTTTGTTGATGAATTTTTCTTCCTTAACTATTATGTAACTTAAACACAAGATTTACCTTGCATTTCATAGCTTTTATCTTCAAGAAATATGTAGAAAATAAATTTTAATGGTATATTTCTACAATATAGTGAGCCTATTCATTCCATTCATCAAGAATGGTTGAGAGTTTTTAAAAGGTGCAATAAATATTCATCCTCCTATGCAATCCCAATTGTGGCAACACCAGCAAGTTTCATTGCATTGAACACCCAACTGATTAATGTCGTTCTATTCATTTCATTATTTGATTATTCACTAACAAACAAGCAAAAAGAAAGAAACGTAATAAAATAAAATAAAATAAAAGACCACAATCTACTCATCATTCCCACCTTCCATGTCTCTGTTAAAAAGGAAGAAATATGCCAATTGATCTTCCATTCAAACACTTTTTTCTAATATTTTTACTCATTTATGATTGACTGTTCAGCTTATCTTTACAAAGAAAATAAATTGTGGGCAGGATTTTCATATTTTGGAATTAAAAAAAAATGCTTAAAAAGTGGTGTTCAGGAGAACACAAGCTTCATGTGTAAATGAATGAATCATACATGAACAAATGCAACATTTTGTGGAAGAGTACTTGTGCAAAAATTGGCCCAGCAGTGCCCCTACAAATAGTGTGGGAGAGTCCTTGAATCATTACCATTTTGAAAAATATATGCACATAACTTCTTTAAGTAATAAATTTGTAAAACTTTCTAAAGTTTTATGAGTGGACTACCCCTTTTCTCAAAGTATTGAATGAATTTTATAATACTTCTTGTATGATTATCATCAATATTATTGAGAAGAATTTAAGACTGTGCTGGATGTTCATGATGTGCCATGCTTTAGTTGGGTGGTGTTGTTGAGACTTCAAAACAACTTTTTTGTGTTTTTTATTTATTAGTTTTATTGTGAGAAGAAAGGGGGCAAATGTACCCCTCTGTAACCCCCCCCCCCTCCCCTTTTCCTTCAAAAGGAGTCTCCATAGGAATTTAATATACATAACCTTTTCTTATATCATTCCTGCTTAATGATTTGTGCTCCTTTTCTCTTTACATGTGCAGGTTCATGATGTACTTCAAGTATTATTCACTTTCACTTTCACAACTTTTCTTATTCTATTCTCTAAAAACTTTTCTTATTCTCTAAAAACACTTCTTACTTTTCCAATTTTTCTTATTCTATTCCATTTTCACACAGAAGAGCTATAGCTTTTGCATCATGTATGAACATGTGTAAAAAAGCCCACACATCACTTAAAGCCTCAAGGAGACCAAATCCGTCCAACCATTCAAGACCTAAAAGAAAAGGCCCCATTCAACAACAGATTAGAATGAGCTCACATGGATGGATAGAAAATGAAACGGATGGAAGATAGGGTATCCAATCTTCATCCGTCCATCCACGTGATTTCCCGCCCTCACAAACCTTGGGAAGGGAGCAGCGTTCCCCAGAGCTTATCCACACAAAACACCCTTTTGAGGTCACGCTGAGAGCCTTTTTGCTTTTTCTTTTCCTGTTCATGGCATCCTGTTTATGTTTTTGAATTGGGTGGTTGATCTGTGCGGTTGCACTCACTTCGTCTCTTTTACGTTGGGTTCTGAAATGATTTCTTTATCTTTATCTCAAATAGCCATGACGAATCAGGATCCTTCCAGAAATGGATGACAAGACGAGGAGCGGTCAACTCTTTTCCATTCCTGGAATGGAAAGATGGACCCCTCCGAAGCGACCAGAATCGTCCTGATTCCCTTTTCTTCTCTGGATTAGAGCCCAGTTGTGGGTCCTCCTACTAAACCATTGCCTGTATGTACGGTAGAGTATTTAATTTTTATTTATACTTGTTGTAAATAATTGGCTGCTGGGTTTGTGAGCAGTGACTTGACAATAGGGTATTTGGTGGATGAAGTCGTTCATTCAAATTTCTTCATCCTCATACTCTACATCTATCACCAAATCACTGTGGATGTATCAATGTAGTGTTGCAATAATGTTGGATAGAAGACTCATCTATTCTCTCTTGTATTTCGTATTGTTTACATATACGATAGAGTAGCATGAGAAATTCAGAGTTAAAGTTTTTGGCTGCAAACAGTTTTTGGTATAAAAAAAACTATGTGGAGAATGCAATCACTAGTCCACTGATTGTACTTGTCTAAAACATGGTACTACACCATCTACTTCATAGAATAAAGTAAGAGAGATTAATACTTCTAAAAACCTTCAATATTACTTCTATTTACATGAATTTCTTCAAGATGATATTTTGAGAAAATCTAGTGAGAAATCAATTGCACATGCATAGTATTTTATGTTGTTAAAAGAACATGCCACGACATATTGGTTTGTTTGTTTTGCAAAATCAGAAGCCTTTTGACATTTTTAGCAGGCAGTAAAAATAATTAAACATAAAACAGTGATGATATTAAGCAATTTTGCTACATATAAAACAATATGACTACTGTTCATGCATTTAAACTCACTCACACATCCATTCGAATGCCTTTCCATCTGATTCATTTTCATCTTTTTAAAAGTTTTCTTTTTCCTTGAGAAACTTATATAATGTTGTTGTACATCCTATATATTATGTCACTGTCCATATTAGTATCAAAGTTCAAGGTTGGCACTAAGGTCAAACTTCAACTGAATGTTAGTGGACAAATATGGACAACCTTGTCTGTTTATGCATGACATGGTAGATAAACATTACATTCAATTGCAAGCACCACACTACTACAAAAGTGATTAATGATGACTTTGAAACAATTCATGAAGGCTTTAAAGTAACTCATACTAATTTATTTATTTTTATTTTCTGTTAAATTTACTTAAATTTAAATGTAGATCTAATTTTATGTTGAAAAATAATTTTGTTTTTTCAAAGATTATGTATGTATGTGTATATATATATATATATATATATATATATATATATGTGTGTGTGTGTGTGTGTGTTTTAAACAACAACTAATAACTTATACATTGAAGCCAAATAAATAAAAATAACTCTAGATGTTAAATATCTCTTTTGAAGAAATATCTACATCACCAGATGCAAAAGAAAACATTTCCCTTGACATATACATCATATACATAGTCAATGGCAATGCAAAAGCATAGAAGAACCATTTGAATGATGTATAACAAAAAGAAACAACATAATAGCACAATTATTTTATAAAAAAAATTGAGCAATTCTAATGCAATTATCTTGAATAAAGGTAAAGCATGTTTTTTGAGGGATTAGACTCTATAATTTTGGCACCAAATTGGATTTGAGCACAATATTCATAAATATTTCACATCCTTCATTTCAAAATCAGACAATCCTTTTTACAACTCTCGGAATACATTTCAACAACACACAAACTAAAAACAAAGGGAAGAAGGGAGGGTTGAATGGTTCAAAAGCGTCCATTAAGTAGCCTTATTGTTGTTCATTCCTTGATAATCCACACCAATGAAAAAGGCATTGAAAACAAAGATTCCTTCACCAATGGTGCTGTACTGGCCACACCCACCAAAAGGAGAACTATACAAACAGATGCATATTTAAAACACACACACACACTCACTCCAGTAGCTTTTTTCTTTGGTTTTGATTTTTCTTTCTCAAAGCAAAGATAATAATAATAATATTAATAATATTTAAAATTGTGGGTATAGTCAGAACCATGCCTTTTCTGCATTGCACCACAACAACTGGGAAGTCCATGCCAGAAAAATATATTGTCCCCAGGGACAACAACAGCTTTAACTCATTCCCGTTGCCTTTTTCACCATCAACTTTTTCGAAAAAGCAAGGACCCTCCTGCCCCAAGTGAGCTGCCCGACGTGTTTTCAAGCTGACCGCCGCCCAAAACTCCCATTGTGAGAGAAAGAAAGAGAGAGAGGAGAGAAAAAGAGAGCCATCACCATCATGGGCATGAGCATGGGCACGGCGATACCTTTTGGAAGACGATGTTGTGTTGCGAGTTTGCTGCGGTGTCTTTCAGGGGGTGGTTGTGGTACTATCCCGGGCCGTGTCAGCTTTACCCGGCAATGGAGGGGGAGGGAGCCGACCCGGCCATCAGGGCGTCGGCCGGGTTTTGAGCCTTTGCGACCCGCAGCTCAACCCGTCACAGGCATCCAGCAATCATCTTTGTCGATCTTACTTCGGAAGCGCGGGGGCGGGGCGGGGAAGGGCGGGAGGATTACTCAATTCATTGCGGAATTCACTGTCCTACGACTCGGAGCCAGTCACAAGCCAGGGGCACCACCGCAAGGACGCACGCATGCTTTTGCCCACCTGATTTATTATTATTACACACCGGCCTCATGCACAAAAGCCAACCGGGGGGGGGGGGGGGGTTCGCAAAGCAACACAAAACCGAATTCAAAGGCACAGCAAAGGCAAAGGCTGAAGTGCGAGTGTGATAAAACTCCCGGGCATTATGACCAGGTTTGGCTTTTGGCAATGATTGTCAACGTTGGCACTCCTTGCAGCAGCAGCGATGATCTCTGTTGCCGCATTTTGGAAGGAGTTACTTAGCAGTAATTATAAATATGATTATTGCTGATAGTTGTGTGACAGCAATGGAACTTTTCTTCGTAGAGTGAGAAAGGGAGTTTGAGGGAGAGAGACGCGAGAACACCGTGTGTACGTTGCGGATTTCTTATGCGACTGGCGAGGGCTGACGGAGGATTCAGTTTCGTGACTTTTGGCGAGGATTTTCGTCGGTTACAATATGGTACCGACTTTTCTGAGCATTTTCGGGTGATGATAGCGTGGGTCCGAGGTTCAATGGTTGCAGTTTTTGAGGCTCTGACACCATTACATCATTTTCTGTGCAAAAGGTGATGCTCACTTTTCCCACAGTAGTGCATGCGACCGATGTTTTATCCTGGATTTGCACTCCATTTGACCGTACCGAGGAGAAAAGTTCAGTGCAGATAGGTTCTGTAGCATGGGGGGTTGCTCGATGATTGGAGGGGGCGGTGCAATCGCTGTAGTCTTGAGGGGTTTCTGGCAAAGCTTACAAGTTAGCCTACAAGTCATGAAATTCATCTCGTTTCACTGTTCTCTTTCTGGCTCATTGTCCCTGTCCACTCGTCTTTTGTTTCTGATGTAGTCATTAAGGGGCGGATACTGGAGTTGTTGGAGGACAACAACTTGTGCAGGTTTGTCTACCTTCTCTCATCAACATCTCTCGTTTCTACTGCTGCGTTCGTGGTGCTTGTGCGTGTATGGTCTGTCATCTTGGATCTGGTCTGTCATCTTGGATCTGGTCTGATGTTGAAGAAGCTGTCCATTTCAGTTAATGTTCATGATAGCCTTTTGTTAGGTGGGAGATTTTGTTGTAAAGTTAGAAAGTGAAGTAAGTCGAGGAATAGGACGAGATTTTGAATCGATTAGTTTTTGACGTTTTTGGCACTTAGTAGTAGCAGTACTGCTTAAAATTTGTATACAGTCGGTGCTTCGTCTTTTTCTGGGTGTTGTTTCGAATATGTTACAATTAATTGCGAACGCTGTCTATCGACTGTGGCAATGCAAAGCGCGATTCATAGCTGATGCAGTCCATGTTTGATAGCTTGGAGTAGATGGTGGGTGATTCTGGCTTTCTGTGAGGGACTATAATTTTATGTGTCGAAGGAGAAAAGGCACTTAAGGTACATTTCCAATACTCCAGAGTGGTGGAGAGATGGTGGGAGTCTATGCGAAATCTCCTGGCGGACGCGCTGCGACGCGCCGTTCTAAACATTTCCTGGTCAGTTTTCGTTCCCCTCTTCTCAGTTCTGGACACACTCTATCCTTTAAGCAGTTTTCTGAATTCTATGCTCCTCTCAAATCACGAGTGAGGCCCTCAGGTGTAGGTGTGTAACTTGACACTTGCATGTGCTAGTCTCTGATTCCCCACAAGCGAGGGAGTATTTTCTTCTTCGCTAGTTTGCAGCCACATTCGAATGCGGGTTAAACGTTAAATGCTTGCATACTGACTAGAGGAATGGTGTTTCTTCCCTGACACAGCTTACTCATCCCCCTTCCGTAGACGAGGGAGGGATTCTTTGTGGCTTTTTGTTTTGAGCTGTATTCTCGACTTGCCAATTGTTCCTCCAAAGCTACTAAATGCCTTTCAATTGACAAATCAGAAACATGTCAAGGACTTTGCAATAGCAAAGGCTCCTTCAGAAAGCGAGCTAGTTTGCTTTTAGTCATATGATTCTCGGAGCGGAGAGACCTAAGGATATCGGAGAATAAAGAATGTTATATAGTCTGTTTGCTCTTTCATCATGATAAGATTCCTCCGAACGTCTTTTTGGTACCTTGAAACTAACAGCTCGCCACCCAATACCTGCACTATATCGAAGCAGGTAGTTATGATTGAAACACAGTCAGTAAACCTATTTGCATCTTAGAACGGCCGTTTTATACTAAGCCTGCAAGTCGTTATTCTAATCTTCATTAAGTTTAAGTCCCGAGAATAAATGAGAAACATGCTTACCCTTGCTACAGTAAAAACTGCTCGGCAGTTCAAGAATTAGACTTGAAAATTATAATCGGCTAGATTCCTATAACGCATGTCTGAACTCCATAGGATAATCTCCCTCCCCTTGTTGCTCTCTTCATTCTGACACAATTTTATTGCTGTCCAAAATGCTTGGTAACTTTTACAGCATGTTCACTAGTTGCTAATATGACTGGATCAACGTGCAGGAAGACAGGGTCGGAAGTAAGAGGATTAGTCCGGCAGCTGTAGTGCAAGGTGATACGCCTTTCGACTCCTTTGGACCTATTGAAGAGCCAGAGGAGCCTTCCGAGATCGACCAACCAGTGCGGTGCCCGCAACCAGAGCCAAACATTATGGAGGTATTGTAAATCTTGGTGTCACTCGCGCTTCACTCTCATTTTGACAGTTGAATCGTGTAATATGCTTTCCTTTTGCACTGCTAGGATATCATGATCTGTATGCATTGAGAGTACTCAGAAGCACACTCACTCAAAATCACATTTTCATCGCAGGACGGGATACTGTGGAGGGCACGGATAGTCGCAAGTCTTCGACGCAGGAATGACATTGTTGCAGCATCCAAGGAACGAGATTCTGTTTTCCGTGGTGGGAGTATTCCAACCCGGAGAACGCAGGGCCGGTCCTTGGAGGAGAAATTCTTACTCGTAGCACACAGTGCACCCGAATACGAGGTCAGGAAATTTCTCGAGTAGAACCCGAAAATTATCAGAACCTCTGGTTTCTTGAGGTGCAGGTCTCATAGATGCATTTGTAATATAGCTCGGCTTTATTGCCTTCTGAATTTCAGATCGCTGGTTAGCTAATGTAGATCAACAGTTCCAGATGTAACGAGTGTAGGATGAGAGATCCTTAACCAGAAGACTTTGGTCGGTTTACTCTGCTCCGAAGCAGACTGTAAACCTCAAATAGATGTATTTCAGCTGAATGTTAACTTGGCTGTTTCACTTGCCAGCAAGTACTGTGCAAAGTTAGATATAGAATTACCTACTTATTCAGATCTTCAAGCCTGCTAGATGTTATCGGTCGCCTTCGTTTCTGTTCCATCCCGAACAAATATGCGTGTGTTGTTTTCCATGTGGTCACAATGTTAAATTTTATTGCGTATCTTGAATGTGAATAATTCAGGTCTTTGAGGTATCTTAAATAGGTTCTCCATGCAGAAATGCTTAATGACCCAGTTTGTTTACTACTTGTAATTTGTGGCTTAAGTACTTACCATCCAAAAAATTACACAGGCTTTAGTTTGCCCTGTTAGACCTTGCACTTTCTTCGTGTTTTCTGGTGAAAATCAGACGACGTGCTTAAATTTCCATGCAGTTAATCATACAGTTGGCAAATGGTACACACAGACCATCATTGATGTTGAAATTAAGATTATTTAGATTTGAGATGATTTTATTTTTGACACAAAAATGGGCTATACCCAATGCTTTAGTAAAGTGAAACTGATATACAACAACAAACTTAATTCCTAATATCTTATACATGGAGTCAAGAGTGCCATTAAAGGAACTACAATTTGAGACGATTGTGCAATTCTTTAGATAATGGTATATAAAACATTAATAAGAAAAAAATAAAAAAACAAACTAACAAACAAATAAACACGCATTCTATTACACCACTGTAATAATCTAATAATCTAATGTTGTACAAAACACTACTTAGTAGTTAGAAACAACTTTATATAGAACATGTGTATATTTCATATGTTTGATTTATTGTATATTACTATGAATGTTACAATTTTTCAACAAAATAATTTTTGACTCTAAAAGAATCCAATCAAATTATGAAATTGTTTAAACAATTTATTACTATTTTCAGCACTTTATTTATTTTACCTATACATAAGATAAAATTTGTACAAAATAATAAAAGCTTATTGTGATTGCAAATATCTTAATATTTGCTAGCTACACCTCTAAAATTTAAAAATCCATAAGTATTAATTCAACACATATTGCATGCAAAGTAAAAGTGTTAAAAAAAAAGAAAAAGAAAAATTCAATTATTGTTACTTAATATTTGCATTGGTGTAAATTTTTTACCACCAATTAGTTTATTAAAGACTTATTGCATAATTCTATTTATACCTAAGGTCTTGAAATGGCACCATCTTTGCTTTTAACTTATATAGACTTAATAGTATTATCATCCTACTATTTGCCATCTATAATAACTAATTTAAATACAAAAATTAAAAAATTTATTGACATATAAACCATAAATATATAATATTAATTTACTTACTTTTATCACTAATTTTTATCACTTATTTTTGTGGATTTGTATCATCTTAAAATATAATAAAATAAATTAAATTAAAAGAGAAAAATAATCATAAGAAATTTGTTACTATCATAAAATGTAATATTTTTTATAAAAAATTCTATAAAGTATTATAAAAGAAAAACTTGTACTTCTATAAGAATTAAAGATGTGATATTTTTTTAAAGAGTTGTGTTATCTTATTGCAAGAAATTATACTCTTTTATTATTTTGGTGAATTTTTACAAATCCTATTAGATTGAATCTTAAACCATATTACTATTGGAAGTATTAGAATTCATAGTAGAGTAGAACAAAAACACAAAGAAAAAGATGTTGGCCATCATAGTCTTAAAAGCAAGTTTATTTATGTTTATTGATAAAAAAAAACCTTGTACATTTGCATTCTATATTCAAAAAAATTATTTTGGTAGCATTATAGATTTAAATTTTTTATTTTTTAAAAAAATCTTTTATAGAATTTAAAAAAGAAAATAATAGTATTTAAGATTTGAAAAAAAAAGAATATTTTTTAGTTTCTAAATAGGCTTTTAAAGAGCTATTGGTATTTTATAAGGCCTAGACAAATTCACTTTTTATATCTTGTAGTATAAATAAACATCAAGCATTATAAAGTATTTTCTTTGAGGCATTGACCACCAAATACAAGCATATGCTAGTTGGTACATCTACCATTCTTATAAGTATTTTTGTAATTTTTTATGGAAAAAGATCATGTTGTGGACCTTCTTGGATTTTGTCAAGGTATCTTCTTTTAATGTAAACTTGTACATCAATTATTGTTGCTAGTTACACCATTAAATACTTCATACTAATTTGTACTAGGATATTATAATAGTAAGGTAAAAATAATGGTTGATAAGATTCTTATATGTGCACTAAGTAGACAATGCTTATTGTATTTAACTTTTGTAAGTAGAAATGATGACCTATTAACATCAAGTTAGTGGTTTTAAAAAATAAGTTACTTTTCTATCTTTATCCAATATTTATAGCTCTAAGACTTGGTTAATGGTATAAAAAATATATTAGTATTTTTATTATTAATATATAAGATATCAAGGACATGAATTACAAACAACCTTAGGATCAATATATTTGTGTGTCATACAAAGCGAATAAATATTTCTTTAAATATGATATAATATTAAGACTAGAATGGCTTAAGTAAAAAACAAGAAGACTAGAGATTTTTTAAACAAGACTAAAAAAAAGAAAGACATTAACAAGAGTGAAGAAGGCTTCATTCTTGACTTTATATATACTATCTAACCAAGAATTATATGGCAATTTTCTAAAAAATCTCCAACATGTATCTAATTTACAAGACACATGTCTAACATACAAGGCAAGTTTTTTGTATGTGTAATATGTGGCCAACTTGTACCATAAATCATTAACATATACTATACATGGCCAACTTCTTGGCTAAATTTTCATCCTATCAATTAACTTCAAATATATATAAAGTCAAATTTGCATATATAAAGCTTCTAAGAAACTTCTCTTTACAATATTATCAATTTTATATACTTCTACTTATTTTTATCTAATTTCTTTAATTTAGATAAATATAAGTATTGATTATATCCATGACATTATTTTTTTTTAAGAACATGTTCTACAAGGAGCAATGATCACATCTTGATTCTTTATCTTGAATTTGATTGATATTATCAATCAAAAGTATTAACCTTCCTTGTTGCATTTGCAAGATTTTTTAATACGTCATGTGTACTCACTTATATCATATCCATGCTAATGAACAAGATGTTATAATCTATTTTGGGGCCGCCTTGAGTCTAATATCTCTTCTACTTCAAACTCTTGATTATTGTCCATTTTTAGAAGAGTAGGTGGCATTTTTTTTTATCTTTCTAGTATATCTACTATTTTATATGGCTCAAAAAGAAATACATAAAACATGGGATGGATCTTCATAAACTTTGTTAGGTGTAATTGATAAGCAATTGTATTGATTTATTTACAAATAAAAAATGGTCTAAGCATATAATAATCTAGCTTATCACAAAGGCGACTAATCTTGATATTATAACAAAATAATCAAATTTTATTGCCAACATAGAATTGAGATTGTTAATTGCAATAGACAATTGTACTGATCCTATGTTATTATTAAGCTTTCTTTAATTGTGCTTTCAGTAGACCTTTTAGATCTAATAAATAATTTGTTAGGTATTATTTTGCATGATTATCAACTTTTGAAAATTCAAAAAAATCATGTTGTGGATAATAATCATATTTAATAAAAAGAAATTATTAAATAAAAAGATATATTGTATTATTATAAGATTTTTTTTTCAATATCAAAAAAGTTGTCCAATCATCTTAATTGTAATTGATAGTATATCTCAAAAATTGCTCCAAAACTTGATTCATCACTTTTATTTATCTATTAGTTTGCGAATAAAATATCAAAGATAGTTTTATATCCATCTCTAAAATCCCAAAAAAAAATTCTTTAAAAATTTGATAAAAATTAAATTCTTCTATCTAATATGCTATATTTTGATAAACTATGATAATGATAAAAATTATTAAAAAAAATTTAATTATTTTTTTACTTGTGATATTTTTTGAGCATGGTATAAAATATGTCATTTTGGTGAAATAATCCACTATCACAAACATAGAGTCATATGAACTTATTATCAAAAAATGTGTGATAAAATCTATAAAAATAAAAGACTATGGTTGTTTTGATGTAGATAATAGCTAAAAAAGTCTATAAGGTCAATGATAAGGAATTTGTGAATTAAAACAAACATCACATGATTGTACAAAGCCTTTAACTTCTAAATTTGAAGCCACCAAAATTTCTTATTATTAGCTTTAAGATTGTATTGTATCTAAAATATATTATAGTTAGAAACTTTTAATAAATTTAAAGAGTGTGAAGTTAATATTCACCTTGAAGAATATGTAAGCATTATTTGAAATAAAAAAAAATATATTCTTGAATTCAAATTTAAAAGTATCATAAGATTTAGAAGGATTATTCTTCATATTATAAACAAGAAGATTCGAGGACATATTTGATTGAATTTCTTAAGAAAAGTTGAATTGACAAACAATGTTGATTTTATAGCTCAAAGAAGCAATTGCTCTAATTTCAAAAGAATTGTTTGTTGTTGATTAAAATTTGTATATGTTTTTGGAGCAAGATAAAAATATTTAGAAAGAACATTTAAACCTTGTTATCTTCTTAGTCCAATAGTGATATTGAATTCAAATTTTGACAAAGATATCATCTAATAGGCTTAGTAACAATTCAAAACACATATTAACAAGAAGTACTTGAAGAAATTCTTAAGATTTGTATAAACAATCATAGTTGATCTTAATTGTTAGTTGGAACTTAGTTGTTATAATATTTTTGAATAAAAAAATATTAAGTGAAGTTTGTTATTAGCTCCTATTTGTGACAATATTATATCTAGGAAAAAATCTAATACATTTATTTTTATAAAAAATATCTTTAATAAATTAATATAATAAAATATTTTTACAAAAATAAAAGATTCTTTTAAAACTTTAATTATTTCTTAATCTTATTTTTTTTACTCAATTTTTTTTTTAAATCAAACATATAAACTAAGTTACAACCTAAAAAAACTCTTGATAAAGCTAAAATATTAATTAATAAATCTCAAAATATATAGTATATTATTTTATTATTTTTAAAATCTTCTAATCTATAATATTCTAAATATTATTTGGATCTATTATAAGGCTATCATTTGAAATGATGTATTTTAGGAAGTTAACTTAAGTTGTATGAAATACATGCTTTTCTATATTGGC